GATTGCAGCATTTTGTTTAGCTTGAGGATCTTATGGATTTGATGGAATGCCTTTGCTACAGCACTCCACTTCAACCTGGGACTGTGAACCGGGACACATAAACCGTCATCGCCAAGATCTTAAGACGGGCATGTAAACAATACCTCTTGTTCTGCCATTTTCCTTAAATTCTCAATTGCTTGCAGCAAAATCTTAATAGCTACCAGCATTGCAATATCCATTGCAGAAACAATACTGTACACTGCATAACAAACTTTTACATGGCCTTTTCTGACCCTGCTGAAAAAATACACAATATCCTCTTATTCAATATACTCCCAATGCACTACGCAGTAAGAAATTATAAATTATCATCTACCCTCGAAAAAAAACAAAAAAAAAACAAATGAAGCATCTTGGCATCTTTCAGTAAAACTTATTTTTTGAATCAGCAAGTCAGCTATGAAGAGATGTTGTGTTGTTTTCATTCTCTATACTGTGATTCTGACTAGGTCAGTCTATACTTCTGAAGGGCTATTATTCAAAACAAGTGGATTTGTAGATTCCACACAATGGACCTAAATGTGGAGGAGCAAAACATTTTACTACGCACTTACTCACCATCTAAATAATAATCTACACATGGTACATAAAGTTTAACATTCTATTGTAGCCAGTGTTATGAAACTTTCTTTGACTGATTTTGATCATTTCATTTCAATACCATCCAGGTATTGTGCATATTGCCAGTGAAATAATTTGACCCCCTAACCCCATGGAAAATGCAGTGAGATGCAAAAAGGTTAATCTAAATCACAGATTACTGATCAAGGTATAAAATTGGGGAGGGGAATTTTTCATGTCATTATTGCATCTCACAGCACTAATTTATTGTCACACATTTCTATTCCACTCAGACAATTCCATCTAGTAGTGCTAAAATAACCCATATTTTCTTCTCGCTCTCCTTTCATTTTCAGTCTTCTGAAGTTAGCGTTTTTGAACACTCCTTTCCCCAACACACCAAATACTCTCTCTCTCCCTCTTTGCTATTGTGTGATTTATGTATGTGCAATCTGAGAACCGGCAAAGTACTATGGTAGGTGAGGCTACCTAGCCAAACACTCACACATAAACATTCACACACAATCTCTTTCTCTCTCATACATACATAAAACACAAACACAAAAAGAGAGATGTGAGGCATCTCATCATTGACAAATGACGTAATAAGACAGTTAGCATTCCATGTAAAGAATTTGTCTCTGAAACTTCAGCTTTATCCTTAAACAATTCCAAATTAGTAATTTCCCTTGTCTTAATATATGTATAGAGATTAATTATTTTGATGTTCCTGTTTGAACAGTTATTAAAGTGCTTGGATTTGCCTTTCTGCGTATATAGGGGAATCGCGGGATGTAATGTAAGAAAATAGGGGGACAAAATGTGCCCCATATTCAGCTCTGGTCATTTGGTGCCAAAAATAAAGTCTGCAGGGGCAGAAGTAGCCATGATGCTGGAGGAAATGTGAGCCCAGCTCAGTGCTTTAAATCTCTGTTCCATGCTAGGAGCCTGATCACTGGTCACCTACAACACAACCTTTACAGCTCTCTACCCTCTCTAGCCCTGACCTCCAGTTGCAGAGTCCATCAACTAAATCAAATAGGCATAAATCGACATCTTGAATTGGAGCAGGGATGAGCAACTCCAGTCCTCTGACTCCAATAATCAACTAATCATGATCTTCAGTTTAGAATGCAATTTGTTTAATCAGCTGTGTTTGCTAGGGATGGAGGAAAAGTGTGACACCACTCTGGCCCCTGGAGACTGGAGTTGCCCATCCTTGGATTGGAGTAATTGCACATTTTCTCGCATTCTTTCCACACATTCTTTATCATTGAAGAAGAGCTTTAAAAAGGGGGCAAAATACAACTTCAGCAAACGCTGAGCAGAGGAAACGGGAATTGCATATTTCACATACTGTATTACACCAAGCTGGAAGACATAATGAGAGGGGAAAGCCTCGAGAGTCAATAAAAACAAAGAAATGAACAAGATTCAAATGCAGCAAGGGTTCCATGTGATGGAAAGACAAATACTAGTCTATAATACCCACAAAAGGGAAAAGGGTGAAAAGAACCCGTCTCGACAATCCCAATCTGTCACTACTTTCCATCTACTACTATATTCATCAAACTGGATAATGACAAGCAATCAAACATGCAGCAATGTTTTTTGTCTTTTTTGCAGCGTTACCGGTTATACTAAAAAGAGAAATGAATTTACATAATCTTTATCATGTATTATTGTTCTTAACTAAAGGCAAGGCACATAATGTGTTATATAAAATATCGTGCAAAATAGAAGTTAACAATAGGGAATAAAAAATCCAAACGAATAGGTAAAAAGGTAAGAACCCATCAGTATTATTTACTCTCTGTTCCATAGATTAGAGGGAGGAAGGGCTTGGGGCTAGGGGGGAGGGGCTAGGGAGGAGGAGCTAGGGAGGAGGAGCTAGAGGGGGCGGAGGGTAAGCTTCAGAAGGGTAGTAAGAGTTCCTGCCATGCACCCATGTCAGCATTATGGTGGTCAATAGAGCTAGAATCTCATGATTTTCTTTTGAAAGCACCATGCATGAATATATATCAGTATCATTTCATATCAGCACCTTTAAAACAAGTCATTGTAGGTATTCTGCATATAAATAACAGATGTGAATTGGAACACCATTGCGAAGCCGTATTTAAAGGTTAGCTTTTCGTAACCAGCGTGTATGACATTATTCTCTAGAAGTGTTTCTGTCTTAATGAGCCATTTCTGAACTATACATACCATTTTTCTATATATATATAGCTTTGATATGTTGGTTTCATTATGTCATTGCTGATAGCAGGGTTTTATGTTTGTGTCTTTTCTTGGCTTGTCCCCAGCTAACTACCAATGAGAAGCCTGTGCTCAGAAAAACACGTGGAAGTTGCATTTGGCTAGAGACGGGTTTGGGCTGTGAGCTCTCCATACCTTCTCCCCCTCTGTGCATCACACCTGTCTCTCCCACCACTTTTGTTGCCTGCCTATAACTCATTGAGGCTTGCAGTACTTCAAACAAGCAAAAACAAAAATAGAAAGAAAATAGAAAATAACACGTGCTATGTCTTAGGCACTTTTCATGGCTGTATATATGGTTTGGGTTTGGTTGAGGAGTCTCAAGCCCTGATGTTGTTTTCAATTTATAAATATGAATTCTGCATTCATCCCAAAACATGCTGCAACAAAGTCTGTTGTCACAAACTTTGCATTGCATCAGCAAATGAGACCCAGGGACAAAACCTGTAAAGAAATGTCTGACTAAATAGACTGGTAATGGACACTGCTGGTCAGTCAGTTGCTCCTTGTCAATGAGCCACAATCATGCCATGTGCACACATGGAAACATGCAGTGCTGTTGGCATAGAAACCATTAGGTCTGGGACCAATGGTGGCACTATCAATGGTTACCTTTACAGCCACGCTTCTAATGATCTCATCGACTTATCCAAAGTCTGTGATCTGCTGTAAAAAAGACAATCATAAATTAATTTTGTTTTCCATTATATAAAGGCAGCATGAGTAAAATAATAAAGATGTGACTTAGATACACAGAATGTAGAAAGAGATCCATAACGGTGTGATCAGGATTCCCTGTACCTCAACATACACAAGGAAACTTCCACTAGAGCATAGAATATCTGAAACACAGTAGGGTTGGATTGTTCTAATTGATAGCTCAAGACAGAAAACACTCATAGCTCATGTACCCTGCTACCTAAAGAACACAACATAGTCGTTTCTACAACATAATCCTAAAACCTACCTTTGACTTGCAGCATTTTAATATGATTATGCCAAAAGATAGCTGCTAAAAAGGAAAAATGCATTAATTATAGTAGTGCAATGCCTGTAATGTCCAATGCAATTTAAACTAAATACACAAAAAAATGAAGAAAACATCTCTCCTCTACACCCAATACTTTCTCAATTGTGACAGAACTATTTTTGTACTTCTTTGTCACTATGCAGAATAAACCCCCGTTATCTACATTAATCAAAACTTTATGCAATATTATCTCAAGAGTGGGGCAAGGATAGGGAGAGGGGGTTTCATTGTGTTTGAATTGTATGCACATACAAACAAATGTCTACACAAATACACAACAGTTGACAGGCACAAAAGGGCGTCTCAGTTATTGTGAAGACTAACACACACCTGTTACAGTAACTGTCCTTTCGTGATGCTCTGTACTGCTCTAAAGGCTGATCCTTTTGATTGTGTGTGCATATTTCATCGTGCCTCATAGAAGACATTTAGCTCAGTGTTTTTAAAAATTGACAAAAATGGACTGTGTTAAAGGAAATCTTAAAAACAACCCCCCCCCCCACCCCCCTTTAAACAAAGTAACTGACACAGATACATGATTGTCTATCAAATTGGATGAAAAGTTGACTTTTCGTTTCCGAGGGTAAAGGGAGGTTATTGACCATGCGTAACCAGCCTCCCCTCCCTTCTTTCAAAGAGAATATGTTTTACCGTCCCAGAAGGAGTGTGGGACAGTATAATCACTGGAACTGGATTCTTCTTTTTCTTGTTGATTAAGAAAATAAAGGATACTTATTTTGCATATATGAGGAAGCAGCACCTGTAGCAGAGGGGGGTGGGTATGCGGTTCATGGGGTCATGGGGTCATGTCTCTGCCCCACAGTTCATTTTGGCTGCCCAGACATCCTCTTCTCTTCTCTCTGTCCTTGGCCTCACTCTCTCTCCCTGTCTTTTATTCCAAAAAGGTGTGTTGAAGCATCTTTCATGTTGATATACATATATAAATATATATGCACACATATATTTATATATATACATACTGTATATATACTGCATATATATACATTTTCCCTCTTGCATCTCTTTTTTTTCTTTTTTCTTAATTCCACAAAAAGTGTTGAATCTCAAATCCAAGTGTCCATGCCCTTTTCGCTTATCCTTGTGTTGTTTAGTTCCCCAGGTACCAGGACTGAAAAAAAGAACAAACATTTTCAGATTACACATGAATGGCAGATATTTTTCATTGATATTCAGAGAAGACAATAAGAAAACATTGTTTCTCTAGATTTTCACATTGGAGTACACTGCAGATTATCACAGTCAATGTACAGGTAACTGCCAAAATAATGGAAACACTTGAGTAAATGAGGGATACAAAGTTTATTGAAAGCAGGTGTTTGCACACAGGTGTGGTTCCTGAGTTATTTAAGCAATTAACGTCCCATCATGCTTAGGGCCATAAAAATGCTGGGCAGGCCATTATTTGACTGGTGAGGCCCCAATCCACAGGACAAACGCAGGGCTTATCAGGGCTGAAGCCCCTGGGCCCAGGGCTGTGGGCCGCCCAAGAGGCAGCCCCCAAAAATCCTCAGATGGGGGGAGGAGAGGAGGTAGGGGGCTCACGTGGGTAACTGATTAATAAAAATAAAAATAATAAACTGCATAATAAATAAATGTGACTGGTCAATTGTATGAGCCTGGGGCCATAAGTGGCCCAAGAGGCAAAAATGTTTTATCCAACCACAGGAGCCCGCGCTCAATGTTCAAAATACAACAGAGAGCATAATTGAGCCACAGAGGATCAATAGTTTATAAAAAAAAATAACAACTGTGGATTAAGTTTTATTAGAAGCACATAAGGTATCTGCCAAAATTAAGGAAACACCAACATAGGATCTCTATATCAGGTGGTGAGAAAGGAAGGCCCGGAAAATCATTAAAGACTTCAGCCACCCAAGACTGTTCTCTCTGCTTCTCCACGGCAAGCGGTACCGGTGCATCAAGTCTGACACCAACTGGCTCCTGAACAGCATTCCCATGCCATAAAACAGCTAAATAGCTAACTAAATAGCTAACAGAACCCCAAAGATTGGAAAGCTGCCGCGGTCATCCCCCTCTTCAAAGGGGGTGACACTCTAGATCCAAACTGTTACAGACCTATATCCATCCTGCCCTGCCTTTCGAAAGTATTTGAAAGCCAAGTTAACAAACAGATCACCGTCCATTTCTAATCCCACCATACCTTCTCTGCTATGCAATCTGGTTTCCGAGCTGGTCATGGGTGCACCTCAGCCACGCTAAAGGTCCTAAACGATATTATAACCGCGATCGATAAAAGACCGTACTGTGCAGCTGTCTTCATCGACCTGGCCAAGGCTTTCGACTCTGTCAATCACCGCATTCTTATTGGCAGACTAGCCTTGGTTTCTCAAATGACTGCCTCGCCTGGTTCACCAACTACTTCTCAGATAGAGTTCAATGTGTCAAATCGGAGGGCCTGTTGTCTGGACCTCTGGCAGTCTCTATGGGGATGCCACAAGGTTCAATTCTCGGGCCGACTCTATTCTCTGTGTATATCAATGATGTCGCTCTTGCTGCTGGTGACTCTCAGATCCACCTCTATGCAGACGACACCATTTTGTATACATCTGGCCCTTCATTGGACACTGTGTTAACAAACCTCCAAACGAGCTTCAATGCCATACAACACTCCTTCCGTAGCCTCCAACTGCTCTTAAAAGCTAGTAAAACTAAATGCATGCTCTTCAATCGAACGCTGCTTGCACCCGCCTGCCCGACTAGATTCACTACTCTCGGTGGGTCTGACTTAGAATATGTGGACAACTACAAATACCTAGGTGTCTGGTTAGACTGTAAACTCTCCTTCCAGACTCACATTAAGCATCTCCAATCCAAAGTTAAATCTAGAATCGGCTTCCTATTTCGCAACAAAGCCTCCTTCACTCATGCTGCCAAACATGCCCTTGTAAAACTGACTATCCTACCGATCCTTGACTTCGGCGATGTCATTTACAAAATAGCCTCCAACACTCTACTCAGCAAATTGGATGTAGTCTATCACAGTGCCATCCGTTTTGTCACCAAAGCCCCATATACTACCCACCATTGTGACCTGTACGTTCTCGTTGGCTGGCCCTCACTACATATTCGTCGCCAAACCCACTGGCTCCATGTCATCTATAAATCACTACTAGGCAAATCTCCGCCTTATCTTAGCTCATTGGTCACCATAGCAACACCCACCCGTAGTATGCGTTCCAGCAGGTATATCTCACTGGTCATCCCCAAAGCCAACACCTCCTTTGGCCGCCATTCCTTCCAGTTCTCTGCTGCTAATGACTGGAACAAACTGCAAAAATCTCTGAAGCTGGAGACTCTTATCTCCCTCACTAACTTTAAGCATCAGTTGTCAGAGCAGCTTACCGATCACTGCACCTGTACACAGCCCATCTGTAATTAGCCCACCCAACTACCTCATCCCCATATTGTTATTTATTTTGCTCATTTGCACCCCAGTATCTCTATTTGCACATCATCTTCTGCACATCTATCATTCCAGTGTTAATACTAAATTGTAATTATTTTGCACTATGGCCTATTTATTGCCTTACCTCCATAACTTACTACATTTGCACACACTGTATATAGATTTTCTATTGTGTTATTGACTGTATGTTTTGTTTTATCCCATGTGTAACTCTGTGTTTTTGTTGTTTTTATCGCACTGCTTTGCTTTATCTTGGCCAGGTCGCAGTTGTAAAAGAGAACTTGTTCTCAACTGGCTTACCTGGTTAAATAAAGGTTAAATAAAAAATAAACAATTACTGCATTGTTGGGGTTAGAGCTAGCAAGAAAGGCCATTTCACTGTACTTGTGCATGTGACATTAAAACTTGAAACTTAAGTGTCTTAAAAGGATGTTGCGCCACCACAAGCTGCCAGAACAGCTTCCGTGCGCCTTGGCATAGATTCTACAAATGGACCTAAACAATGCCAGGAAAATGCGACCCCACACCATAACATATACTTTGTATCCCTTGTTTACTCAAATGTTTCCTTTATTTTGGCAGTTACCGGTATGCTTACAGTCGGGAAGGCTGCAGTTTGGGCAGCATGCGCGCCAAATATAGGCTACAGCTTGTTGCGTTGTGGACATATAATCAACAGAAGGATTTTGTAACCTCTTACCCTGGCAATTTGACTGTTAAACTAATGGGTACACTAGCAATGGATGCCAGTCCTGACTCAAATAGGAACTGCCATCTATGGATTACAGTGCCTTGCAAAAGTATTCATCCCCCTTGGCGTTTTTCCTATTTTGTTGCATTACAACCTGTAATTTAAATTGATTTTTATTTGGATTTCATGTAATGGACATACACAAAATAGTCCAAATTGGTGAAGTGAAATGAATCAAATAACTTGTTTCAAAAAAATAAATAACGGAAAAGTGGTGCGTGCCTATGTATTCACCCTTTGCTATGAAGCCCCTAAATAAGATCTGGTGCAACCAATTACCTTCAGAAGTCACATAATTAGTTAAATAAAGTCCACCTGTGTGCAATCTAAGTGTCACATGATCTCAGTATATATACACCTGTTCTGAAAGGCCCCAGAGTCTGCAACACCACTAAGCAAGGGGCACCACCAAGCAAGCGGCACCATGAAGACCAAGGAGCTCTTCAAACAGGTCAGGGACAAAGTTGTGGAGAAGTACAGATCAGGGTTGGGTTATAAAAAACATATTAGAAACTTTGAACATCCCATGGAGCACCATTAAATTCATTATTTAAAAATGGAAAGAATATGGCACCACAACAAACCTGCTAAGAGAGGGCCGCCCACCAAAACTCACAGACCAGGCAAGGAGGGCATTAATCAGAGAGGCAACAAAGAGACCAAAGATAACCCTGAAGGAGCAGCAAAGCTCCACAGCGGAGATTGGAGTATCTGTCCATAGGACCACTTTAAGCCGTACACTCCACAGAGCTGGGCTTTACGGAAGAGTGGCCAGAAAAAAGCCATTGCTTAAAGAAAAAAAGAAGCAAACACATTTGGTGTTCACCAAAAGGCATGTGGGAGACTCCCCAAACATATGGAAGAAGGCACTCTGGTCAGATGAGATTAAAATTGAGCTTTTTGGCTATCAAGGAAAACGCTATTTCTGTCGCAAACGCAACACCTCTCATTACCCCGAGAACACCATCCATCGGCAGGGACTGGGAAACTGGTCAGAATTGAAGGAATGATGGATGGCGCTAAATACAGGGAAATTCTTGAGGGAAACCTGTTTCAGTCTTCCAGAGATTTGAGACTGGGACGGAGGTTCACCTTCCAGCAGGACAATGACCCTGCTAAAGCAACACTCAAGTGGTTTAAGGGGAAATTGAGAATCTGTGGTATGACTTAAAGATTGCTGTACACCAGCGGAACCCATCCAACTTGAAGGAGCTGGAGCAGTTTTGCCTTGAAGAATGGGCAAAAATCCCTGTGGCTAGATGTGCCAAGCTTATAGAGACATACCCCAAGAGACTTGCAGCTGAAATTGCTGCAAAAGGTGGCTCTACAAAGTATTGACTTTGGGGGGTGGGGGGGGGGGGGGGGGGGGGTGAATAGTTATGTACAAGTTTTCTGTATTTTTTTGGTCTTATTTCTTGTTTGTTTCACAAGAAAAAATATGTTGCATCTTCAAAGTGGTAGGCATGTTGTGTAAATCAAATGATACAAATCCCCCAAAAATCTATTTTGCCAAGGGGGGTGAATACTTTCGCAAGCCACTGTATATTTCTATGGTTGGTTGCGGCTGTCGGTTTGCCTTTCGCAGATTTCAAAATACAATCGTGGGAAAAACGTACAGTCTGGAAAGCAAATGCCTACTGCTGAAAAGAGAAGACTAATATGTCTGTAGAACCAATGTAAAAAATCTTTCTCAACAACTCCCAATTTGTAGCTAACAGCAGCACTGTTTTTGAAAGTAGCTCATCTTGAGATAGGCTATTGCCAAGACGAGGGCATTGGCCATCACCGTGAGTAGCCTATGACATCATCTTCATCATTAGGTGAGTCAGTGTGCCACTGGATATTGTATTTAGTAGCCTACTGTAGCCTATGATAAACAGGAAAAAAGCAAATTTGACATAATTTCACACAAAACTAAAAAAATGGGCCGGACAAAGTTATTGGCACCCTTTCAAAATTGTGGATAAATAAGTTTGTTCCAAGCATGTGATGCTCCTTTAAACTCACCTGGGGCAAGTAACAGGTGTGGGCAATCTAAAAATCACACCTGAAAGCAGATAAAAAGGAGAGAAGTTGACTCAGTCTTTGCATTGTGTTTCTGTGTGTGCCACACTAAGCATGGAGAACAGAAAGAGGAAAAGAGAACTGTCTGAGGACTTGAGAACCAAAATTGTGGAAAAATATCAACAATCTCAAGGTTACAAGTCCATCTCCAGAGATCTAGATGTTCCTTTGTCCACAGTGCGCAACATGATCAAGACGTTTGCAACCCATGGCACTGTAGCTAATCTCCCTGGACGTGGACGGAAGAGAAAAATTGATGAAAGGTTGCAACGCAGGATAGTCCGGATGGTGGATAAGCAGCCCCAAACAAGTTCCAAAGAAATTCAAGCTGTCCTGCAGGCTCAGGGTGCATCAGTGTCAGCGCGAACTATACGTCGAAATTTGAATGAAATGAAACGCTATGGCAGGAGACCCAGGAGGACCCCACTGCTGACACAGAGACATAAAAAAGCAAGACTACAGTTTGCCAAAATGTACATGAGTAAGCCAAATTCCTTCTGGGAGAACGTCTTATGGACAGATGAGACCAAGATAGAGCTTTTTGGTAAAGCACATCGTTCTACTGTTTACCGAAAATGTAATGAAGCCTTCAAAGAAAAGAACACAGTACCTACAGTCAAATATGGTGGAGGTTCAAAGATGTTTTGGGGTTGTTTTGCTGCCTCTGGCACTGGGTGCCTTGACTGTGTGCAAGGCATCATGAAATCTGAGGATTACCAAAGGATTTTGGGTCGCAATGTAGGGCCCAGTGTCAGAAAGCTGGGTTTGCGTCCGAGATCATGGGTCTTCCAGCAGGACAATGACCCCAAACATACTTCAAAAAGCACCCAGAAATGGATGGCAACAAAGCGCTGGAGAGTTCTGAAGTGGCCAGCAATGAGTCCAGATCTTAATCCCATTGAACACCTGTGGAGAGATCTTAAAATTGCTGTTGGGAAAAGGCACCCATCCAATATGAGAGACCTGGAGCAGTTTGCAAAAGAAGAGTGGTCCAAAATTCCGGGTGAGAGGTGTAAGAAGCTTATTGATGGTTATAGGAAGCGACTGATTTCAGTTATTTTTTCCAAAGGGTGTGCAACTAAATATTAAGTTAAGGGTGCCAATCATTTTGTCCGGCCCATTTTTTGAGTTTTGTGTGAAATTATGTCAAATTTGCTTTTTTCCTGTTTTTTTTGTGTTATTCCAATACACACAAAGGAAATAAACATGTGCATAGCAAAACATGTGTAATTTCAATACTTTTCTGTGAGAAATACTTCATTTTCTGGAAAAATTTCAGGGGTGCCAACAATTTTGGCCATGACTGTATATATATATACTCTATATATATTGTCTCCTAATATTGTACAATCTGTGTGTCGGTTCATTGGCCTAGGCTATTGTTTGTTTGAATTCAAGACCAGATTGATCTCAGTATGTCGGTGTCAGAGTAGCCACTCATTTCAGTCATTTGTGTGGTATTAAAAAAGATTCAGCTAATGTCTTCTGTCATGTAAATGATGTAGCGTTGCATGAAATTTGTTTTTAAACGCTGATATTTTTCCAGACCCTGTTAAAACCAAATCCTCATGTGTGGAAATCCTAAAAACGCTTCTGCTCAACTGTAGCCTATGCCACATGGCCAACATTATTATGGCTTTATTATAAAGGGTATTTTTCTTCAACAGTAAATTTACCACACGTCAAATTGCATCTTGGTGGACACGAGGGGAAGAAAAAAACCGAAGCCCTGGGGCCTATGATTTCTTAATCCGGCCCTGGGCACGAGTGGTCACTGAATTGTTTGATAAGCATGAAAACGATGTAAACCATATGCCATGGCCATCTCAGTCACCAGATCTCAACCCAACAGAACACTTATGGGAGATTCTGGAGTGGCGCATGAGACAGCGTTTTCCACCACTATCAACAAAACACGAAATTATGGAATTTCTTGTGGAAGAATGGTGTCGCATCCCTCCAGTAGAGTTCCAGATACTTGTAGAATCTACGCCAAGGTGCATTGAAGCGGTTCTCGCTCGTGGTGGCCTAACGTCCTATTAAGACACTTTATGTTGGTGTTTCCTTTATTTTGGCAGTTACCTGTATATGTGTCGTATGATAAACAGTTGAACTTTTATGTCTACATCAAGTGCAGAAATACAATATAATGTGGTCCTCTGTAGCTCAGCTGGTAGAGCACGGCGCTTGTAACGCCAAGGTAGTGGGTTCGATCCCCGGGACCACCCATACACAAAAATGTATGCACGCATGACTGTAAGTCGCTTTGGATAAAAGCGTCTGCTAAATGGCATATTATTATTATAATAATTATGTTTTGCTTCAACAGTTGACATTAAGAGTTCCTGTCAGTGTGTTGAATATTATTATGTATTTGTAAACCCTGTGTGTGAAAGTGTGTGCGTGCACGGCGCATGTCGGTGTTGTTTTGGGCCTACTGTACAGTATGAGACACCATGTGAATAGCAGTGATTGTGATTAATGCATGACCAGGGTAGTTTTGTGGCCAACTCCAGACACAGTGCTTTACTTTCTCAGTGTTCTGCAATCAGTGTCTTCTCCACTAATGCGCCCCAAACAGTTCCAGTCAGGACGACCAACCAAATGGAGCAATTATAAATAATGTGGAGTAAAAGAGCTGCTACAGCGAGAGATCCCAGCAGGATTCCACCCAAACCTTTTAAAAAACATAATAGGACTTTGGCTTTCGCCTGCAGACCACTGAAATCGTGAAAAGAAAAAGACAGAACTGAAAACATTTTTAAAAAACACAACCCATACCCTCATTTTCCACCAATGTTTATGTAATTTTAACAGTCCTCAAACAGACCTCTTTAACTACACCCAATTGTACTGATTTAATAAAGTTTAAAAAGGAAACTTCTTGCCTATTCCTCATTACTGCTCAGAGTAAAATACCTTATGGTCCATGGCTCCAGCCTCTTAACTCCTGCCTGCCCGCTGTTCACAAGGTACAAACAAATGCACAAGCACGGCCACACACACACACCACACATACATACGCATCCAAGCACACTACGAACAAATACACACACCATGGATGATAACACATACATGCACACACCGCAGCGAGCCTGCTGGTATGCTTATACCCTCGATGTGCTTCATCATTCACAAATTTACAAATTTGTACCTACTTATCACTGTATTCTGGGGGAATGAGGAGTGAGCTATGGAGCTATGGACAGACTCTTGGAAAAACGTTGAAATGGGGTTTGGAAACAAACTGCTGAGCAGGGTTGGGAGAAACCAAGCCAAAGCCACATTAAAGAGGCAGTATTGTAATTCAGAGGACTTGCCTGGCTCATTGGAAAGGCCACAATGGAGGTTGCCAGTCAAAGCAGGGGGCGATGAGGGTCTCTGCCAGGGGAGTGAACTCTGGAGGGCCCCTTGCTTGTTGAGTCGATGGGGATAGAGCCTACTGTAATGACTGGGGCTGCTGTCTTCCCTGTGTCCATACAGCAGAGCTCTTAAAGAGTGCAGAGGGTAAATGCCAATACTGTAGGCTACAGGCGCCATACCTTAGCCAATACTGTAGGCTACAGGCGCCATACCTTAGCCAATACTGTAGGCTACAGGCGCCATACCTTAGCCAATACTGTAGGCTACAGGCGCCATACCTTAGCCAATACTGTAGGCTACAGGCGCCATACCTTAGCCAATACTGTAGGCTACAGGCGCCATACCTTAGCCAATACTGTAGGCTACAGGCGCCATACCTTAGCCAATACTGTAGGCTACAGGCGCCATACCTTAGCCAATACTGTAGGCTACAGGCGCCATACCTTTAGCCAATACTGTAGGCTACAGGCGCCATACCTTAGCCAATACTGTAGGCTACAGGCGCCATACCTTAGCCAATACTGTAGGCTACAGGCGCCATACCTTAGCCAATACTGTAGGCTACAGGCGCCATACCTTAGCCAATACTGTAGGCTACAGGCGCCATACCTTAGCCATTGACAGAAAAATGACTGCAGCCACTCGTCAAATTCACAACATTCAACACAGTGTCCTGAGCCTTCTACTACTGGCATAATTTTACAATCTACCTCCGCTCTCAAGAAGCCAGTCATGATTTAATATATTTCGAGTTTACGTTATAGAAACACAATACTTGCCTCAGTGGAGGCTGGCAATTTACATTCTCAGTTTCCCCCTCTCATTTTGGCATTTCTGTGGCAACCTCCTGGGGCTCTCTCTTTGCAAATAAGCATAAGCTTTACCAGACCTCTCTGCACTGGACTCAGACTCCTTCCACAAAACAGAACACATCTCTCTCTTTACATGTTGAGAAATATATTGTAACAGTGATGAACGTGCTTTATAAAGGCCCAGATTTAGGTGAAACCTTCATGTGAGTTGGTCAATAGTGTGAGGCTACAGTACATAAATAAAGTAAATCCCTCAATTATTCAAGGACTCCCATTGTAACAATTCATGTGATGACTATGAATGAACTTTGGACAACAGTGAAGGGAGGGGATGTTGAGCCATCAATGAAGCGGTAGTTCACTCTATGTCCTCTTGGGGGAAGCCTCCCCTTCCTCCTTTACTACTTGTTTCTTCACAACCAATTCATGGTAAATACATTCATCCAATTGCCTGTGATATGAATGATGAATCTCAACAATGTAACATGGCAATGAGTATGTTTACTAATATAAAAATAAATGAATAAAAAAAGTTGAAGTAGTTTCAAGTAAAAGTCATTTATGTCCCTTAAAGTGTTATGATTTAATGGTGAATTACGAGGAAATAGGAATTACATTTAGAGAACGGAGCAGGTTCCAAATATGCTGCTAAGAAAAAGAGGTAGTCTTATAATTTCTCTATGTTGCTTAGGAAAGGCGTTCACCTTTTCTTTCAGCACTCTTGTTGCATAACTTACTTAATGAAGTTCATTATTTGCATATTATTTACGCTTCGGGGGAACCAAAAGCACATTTTAGTGATGGGAAAGACAATCAATCGCAGCCAATAAAGGTTAACTGTGGTGAGTGTCTCACCCCAAAAACAATATTTTGTTTCTTGCAAAATGTTTCGCCCATTGGGGTCACGTGTAGCTCAGTTGGTAGAGCATGGCGTTTGCAACGCCAGGGTTGTGGGTTCGATTTCCACGGGGGGCCAGTATGAAAAAGTATGGAAATGTATGTACTCACTAACTGTAAGTCACTCTGGATAAGAGCGTCTGCTAAATGACTAAAATGTAAATATTTGGGTGGCAGGTAGCTTAGTAGTTAAGAGCATAGTGCCAGTAACCGAAAGGTCGCTGGTTCTAATCCCTGAGCCAACTAGGTGAAAAATCTGTTGATGTGCCCTTGAGCAAGGCACTTAACCCTAATTGCTCCTGTAAGTCGCTCTGGATAAGAGTGTCTGCTAAATGACTAAAATGTAAATGAAAGCATAGTTATGAAAATACAGAGCTGGGACAGTCAGAGGGTAGCAGGAGAGCTGACCAGCTGTCCCCTCAATGCAGCTCATTATTGTACTGAACTCACTGGCCTTACACTGAGTGTACAAAACATTAGGAATACCTGCTCTTTCCATGACATAGACTGACCAGGTGAAAGCTATGATCCCTTATTGATGTCACTTGTTAAATCCACTTCAATCAGTGTAGGTGAAGGGGAGGAGACAGGTTAAAGAAGGATCTTTAAGCTTGAGACATATGAGACATGGATTGTGTATGTGTGCCATTCAGAGGGTGAATGGGCAAGACAAAATATTTAATGTAAGCGCCTTTGAACGTGGTAGTAGGTGCCAGGCGCACCGGTTTGTGTGTGTCAAGAACTGCAACGCAGTTGGGTTTTTCATGCTCAACAGTTTCCCGTGTGTATCAATAATGGTCCACCACCCAAAGGACATCCAGCCAACTTGACACAACTGTGGGAAGCATTGTAGATTCCATGTCCTGACCAAATAGAGGCTGTTCTGAGGGCAAAAGGGGGGTGCAACTCAATATTAGGAAGGTTCCTAATGTTTTCTACACTCTGTGTATATTATTCTATTACTGTGCTGCCTTTCAGGCATTATGAAGTTGTATTTTTCAGAAAACAAAAATACACCGTACTGCTATCCAAAAGAAAATGATGAGATAATTAAAATGTAAACAATAGTGACAGACACACACACATATACACACACACACACACACACACACACACTACACAGTACACACTGCATGCACCGAGGCAGGTTTTCAATCTAGGCCTGAGCAATCAATCCCAGCTTTTTTGCGCAGTGGACAGACCGCTAGAGGAATGACTCGAGCTGAATAGGCTTGATTTAGTTTATTTTCCCCTCCCAGAAGTCCAAGTTCATCCTGCAATTACATCATGTCTGGTTTCCCTTAGCAACCAGACAGCCCTGGACGTGACCATCCTGGAGCAGGCTCATAAGGCCCCTCCATCCCCTCCCCTCCCCTCCCCTCCCCTCCCCTCCGTTAACTGCAATTCTTCCAACTATTGACCTTTTTCACAACCGCCACCAGTTTGGCGCCAAAACATTTACAACAAAGACATATTGATATAGTAAAATAAATAAAAGTGTGTAAAAAAAATATTAAATATATTTCATATTGAAACCCTTATATTAAACACCAATGGTATTCACTAAGATGATGGTTTATATTTAGGACAATGTTTTACAGCTTTGTCATTCTACTGTTTATTTTAAAATCATATTATTGTATTATTTTATATATTTTACATGTGATAAGGCCACACAGAGGGCCAGAGATAATTACAGACACCTGTGATAATGTGAAGTACCCAAAAGGGCCACTAGATGTCTTGTGATAAATTACATAACATCCTTGAAAGTTACCAAAATGATGGTAGTTTACTGGTAAACTTCGAAAATGTCCAGTAATATACCCTTCCTTTGCAACCCTAGTTGGGTTACAACAAAATAAAATGTAACCTGGGGTGTAGCATTGTCCCTGTCTTATTGTTTTGTATTGTTATTATTGCATGTGCAGGATCCCTGTGTTCTTTCATGTTTCTACTTGCCAGATTTGCTGACTCTGCCATTTTGCTTCAGATCTAATTCACCTCTCAAGTTACATTCCTAAACACACACGCGCAGGCAGGCAGGCACGTGCCCAAACACACCTCTCCTAGCTCAGCAGTCTCTTTCTCTCTCATTCTCTCCCTCTCTCACTTTACAGCATCACACGCCTCACTGAGGTGCACTTGCACTTTTTATGGAGCAGGGAGCACTGCAATGCAGCAGCAAGCCCCAAATGCCTCAGCTCTGCAGCCACATATAGAGGTACTGTGTTTAGTTGGTATTTTAGTCTTACAAAATACAAAAACAGTGAGACCAACTTCAACATTGAAAGTTTTCCCAATTCAAGCCTCATCTATCCCTAAATGGAAGAGAAAGCCATGGGTGTTAACAGTGAATAACTACATTTCTACATGTAAACTTGAAGAAGAGAGAAATGTTTTCAGCCATGTGAATCTCTCACATACAGGGAAAAGCCCTGTTACATCAAAAGGGTCCTGGGCTGGCTGTGAACATTCAGACCCTGAGGCAGATCCTAGCTAATGCCCTTAGATCTATAATTGAACATAGACATATGGCTTTGATATCAGAGAGTGGAACAGAGTCAGGGGGGTGAGAGAGTTTACATCTCTGAGCTGCCAAGAGCACCATGAGTAGAGGCCTTTGGTATGTATGACATCAGCAACTTCCTTAAATCATAGTGATAAGGAATATTCAAATGAGTATATAGATCAACAAGTGTGTAACAGACAACAGAGAAATCAAAGTTGCTTTTCTCCAGTAAAGTTAGCTGTGTACCTGTGCCTGGTAGAGTCCGCCAGGGTCTCGAGGTCCAATCCCTACAAAGGAGCGACTGGCAGGGGGCGTCCCTGGAGCTGAGTATGCTGAGACAGAGAGAGAGAGAGAGAGAGAGAGAGAGAGAGAGAGAGAGAGAGAGAGAGAGAGAGAGAGAGAGAGAGAGAGAGAGAGAGAGAGAGAGAGAGAGAGAGAGAGGACACTTAGAACTTAATGGCTTGTTATGTAAACCAGGGTAGGCATTAAGAATGGCAGATGTGTCGTGCACACAGTTATTTCAAGGGAATTCGCCTGCCTCGGTATGTTTGCAGACAGGCAGAGTTTGCTTATAGACACTAACTGAAATTGTCATCTTAATCTGGAATATGCATGACTTGGAAATACTTGGCAGCAAAACAAGACCTCAGAGCATATATCAGAACTGATTTTGATCATAACGTATCTTGGTCACGTTGTAGAATGTAATCAAACATAGTAAGATAGCTAACAGCAAGGGCAGTAAGAACAGTGAGGACACAAGGTCTGCACTTTTACATCAATTAGACAGTGACAGTCATCTTCTGGTTATTGACAAATTGATCTATTGACAGTTAAGAACTGTTCATTTATGTCAGCATCCAACAAACTTTGTACTGTAACTTTCCAATACTGATTGACTGAATGGATCACTAATGGAAGTTGACGTGGTGGAGGACCTTGCAGAGATTTCAATCAAAATCCCACATGAGGATTTATTGGTATTGTTACAGTGTCCTCACGGCAGTAGGTAAGCATATTGATCTGTCCTGTGTGTCTCTTAATTAGATTATCATGATTAATGGCGGTGGGAGTAGGAATTGTATTGCAAGTCTGCAACACCTGAATGCTTTCTCTCTCTCTCTCATAAAGGATTGAGAGAAAATAGCTTCACCCTTCAGGTGCTGAATCATTTTTGCTTTGTTTTTTATAATCATATCCACCACATAAGTGTGATGGGTTGAGGGCACAGGTTTTAGAAAATGACATTAATCATCCAATCAAATGAGTCATTCTCTGTATAACAACCCTATACACACACACACAAAACTATTGTCACTGAAGACCTAGAGGCTGGGATTAGCAGGCTCACCAACGGCCCACTTACTGGGTGACGTGGGGGAGTTGGCTCCCCCGTCCGAGGTGGTGGTGCTGGACTTGGAGTCGGAGGGCAGCGTCAAACGGGGCATCCCGGGGGGCGGAGGGGGCGCCAGCATCTGGGAGGAGATGTAGTGACTGGGCAACTTCACTTGACCACTGCCATTCAGCTGTGAAGGGAGAGAGGAGGGAACACATCAGCTGTGAAGGGAGAGAGGAGGGAACACGTCAGCTGTGAAGGGAGAGAGGAGGGAACACGTTAGCTGTGAAGGGAGAGAGGAGGGAACACGTCAGCTGTGAAGGGAGAGAGGAGGGAACACGTCAGCTGTGAAGGGAGAGAGGAGGGAACACGTCAGCTGTGAAGGGAGAGAGGAGGGAACACTTCAGCTGTGAAGGGAGAGAGGAGGGAACACGTTAGCTGTGAAGGGAGAGAGGAGGGAACACGTCAGCTGTGAAGGGAGAGAGGAGGGAACACGTCAGCTGTGGGGGAGTGAGGAGGAGGAGGGGAGGGGAGGGGGGAGGAGATGGGAGGGGCAGGGCGGGGAGTGGAGGGGAGCATCACTGCTGTAGCACAGATGGTATATATAATACTACATGCCACTGCACTGGCCCTGTCGCTCTTAAACTATTTCTCACCCTCTCTCTCACATACACATGCTTTCCCTTTCCATCAGCACTTGTGTGTGTGAGTGAGTGTGTGTGTCACAGGAGGTTGGTGGCACCTTAATTGGGGAGAACGGGTGTGTGGTATAGACTGGACCGGAATCAGTGGAATGGTATCAAATACATCAAACACATGGTTTCCAGGTGTTTGATGCCATTCCATTTGCTCCGTTCCGGACATTATTATGAGACGTTCTCCCCTCAGCAGCCTCCACTGGTGTGTGTGTGTATGTGTGAGTTAGGGAGGGAGAGAGGAGGGAGAGAGAGTAATGTCCAGGGCACTACACTGCTCAGCTAGTCATCCATCCACCCCTCCATCCATGGCTGCTCTTCCTATGGCTGGCATGGCTTCTAGATACTCTCCCCTCTCCAGAGGAGAGGACTGCACATTCACTGTCCTCCACAACAATGGATGAGCAAATGAGTCAGCTATATTGTGGTGCCATGCGCTCGTCCTTTGTGACTGCCTGGCTGCTGTTGCACTGCAGCAGGGGGAATTTCAATGACTCTGCAGAAACTTGGCTGAGTGGAGCCCAGCGTGGCTGCTGCTGGGGGGTACTTCTGATACAAGTAAATGTCTATCCTCTCCTCTCTCCTCTGTGAGCTGCCTGCCTGCCTGCCTGTGCCAGACTTCTGCACTCTGCCAACATCAGCATCACTGCCAGAGACGTACGGGAATCTCCTTCAGGTTCATTCCTCTAATGCCCCCCCCAGCCCTTCCCTCCAGCCCTACACCCCTTTCAAGTCAATACAGAAACAGCACAGCAGCCTCATTGAGCAACCTGGCTTATAATGCCGGCCTAATTAAAGCAGGGAGGAGGGGTCATTTGCATGTGGTGCAGTGGCAGGTCCTCTCAGGTCTGTGTCACATATTGGTAATGAGTGTAACCATGTCTGAGGAGCTGGTCTCGTCCCAGGGCCAGCAGGGCTAGCAGGCTGAGTCTAAACAGAGCAGGAAGTCTGATGGCTTATTGTCCTCTCTGTGACGGGGGATTCACCACTACTGCACTACCAGACAGCCAATCCATTGAACAACCATAATAATCTAAGAAGTTGGCTAAACACATGCAGTTATTACAATGATTGTATGGCTACAGATCTATTGAATTATTGCCACCTTCAGGGAGTGTTAATCATTCTGAGAGTCACGCAAGGTTGTGGTGGCTCCATTCTGCAGTCTGGAGCAGAGGGGAGGAAGAGTAACAGCTACGTGAGGGAAACCTGATAATGTTCCTACATGGCTGTGGGTTGCTGCCACTCTCTCAGGTTACGTCACCTACAGTAGAGTATCCCCAGCCCACTAGTAAAGACCACGGTGGGGGAGAATATGGCAATGAAATGGCATTTCATACAGTCTACAGGCCATCTGACACAGGGTGACGACATAAGAAACATGAAGCATGAAGGAATTCAATATCAAACAAACGATTAGGTGAATCTATAATAGCTGCTGCCTCTGCAAAAGCTAATGGGGATCCAAATAAACAAATATATAAACAAATAAACAAATTAATCTAAGCAACAAATGGAAATAACACAGTTCTCTGAATAAACCACTCAAACGTATAATACATTCTCTCTGAGTGAGTGAACTTACATTAACATTACCTCAAACTTAAGGGCTTGCCATGAAATCATGGCCCAAAAATGATGTCATACTACAGGTTCTGCTAGATGAACACATACAACATGGTTAATTGGAGGCCAACTCTCTCTACTGGGTTCCTATCTAGTATGAGTAATGAGTAGGGGTCAGAAGTTTTACTGACCACATGACCTGACCAGGACAAACTCTGGGCCCTAGTTAGAGTTGTTAGATGGGCTGGACTCACTGGGCTGGGCTGCTGGTTGGACGGGTCACAGGCCAGGGAGACCAGGTCCTTCAGCGGGTCTTGGGAGCTTAGGTGTGGCGGGTAGCGGATGGCAGTGTGGGGGAAGTAGGAAGTGGACTGGGGCAGGATGGAGGTGGTGGGGAAGTGCAAAGACGAGGAGGGGTGCGGACTCCGAGAGATCCCTGCACAGAGAGAGAAAGAGAGAGAGGGAGAGAGAGAAAAGAGAGGGAGAGAGAGGAAGAAAGACAGAGAGAGAGAGACATAGAGGGACAGAGAGAAAACATATGTAAATAAATGTACTTTGTCATGGTCCACAATGATGGTATGATTGAGATAAGATAAGTGACATTGAAAGATGTGTGCTTCTGCAAAAACAAAATAATCATTCCATTTGAGTGCCATTCTCTACAGTCAGTGACTTTAATATAACCAGTATTCATGAGAAAAAAGAAAAAAAAAAGATATAAGGAAACGACTCAGTCTTTCCGACCCTCCATTGGTACAGTCTCTGTTGCGTGAGTTTGTTTATGACATTTAGTATGGGAACTATTATTTATCAGGACCACACGCTAACATAGCTGACATATGGTGATGCACGGCCAATTCGTTTTAACAGTGGCTTTAATTGTTAATGCATCATCCAGCAGACGTTTGGCTGGGGAACGCTACCTGCTCATAGATTACTCTTCATTATCTCCACAAACAATTATCTGTCAGAAAGTGTTAACGGGCAGTTCAATTAAAAACCTAAAATAATGCATTGTCTAAAAGGAAGCTTGTCTTGTTGAAAGCATAATGCCTGCAGTCAGAGCCTATATCAGGATTACCTCAACAGACAGACATCAAATGTGCAACCTTTTAGACACAATATCTCTCTGAAGAAGGGTAGATTTTCTGATGTATGAAACATGTATTGTCTGACGTATGAAGCATGTATTTTCTGATGTATGAAACATGTATTTTCTGATGTATAAAGCATGTATTTTCTGATGTATGAAGCATGTATTTTCTGATGTATGAAACATGTCTTTTCTGATGTATGAAACATGTATTTTCTGATGTATGAAGCATGTATTTTCTGATGTATGAAACATGTATTTTCTGATGTATGAAACATATCTTTTCTCTTTTCAGACTGCATTATTTTTCACAATTCACATCCTAGGAGACGTACGCACGTCAGGGGTGGTGGATTGTGGAAACAGTCACAAGACGTCGCCTGTAAATGTGTGTAGGTGTGTGATATGCATAAAACGGTGTGTACTGACCACTGTGCACTGCGATGACGGGCCGGTGGTGCTGTGTGAAGCCGAGGCGTGGGGAGCTCTCCTGAGGAGACGGGCTGTCCATCTCTGTCTTCTTTACTCCAGGAGACATACCTGGATGCAGAGACAGAGATACATAGAGGGTGTTACTGACGCCACTACGACTCCCATAATAATAATGACTGTCTGGAGGAGGATATTGAAAAGACCCTACATTTCATTGCCCAGTTCAATCTGCTACTACATGGCTGTTGTAATTACAGGAGCTCACCACAGGGTGGCAGGGTGCATTGAGATGACCCAGTCAGTCATCATCAGTGCTGCAGTACGATGCAGTAAAGCACATGAGCTCCAAACTAACTTCCTCATTGAGACTAAACAATAGGATCAGAAACAATATTATGTTTTGGTCAGATCTACCCAAAATCAGGTTCACCTAGGTAGACCAAGAGGCCTGCAATGCCTGATACCAGAGTTGCTTACATGTGCTAAACAAATGTGTGTCTCTGTTGCAGCGATATTACTGGCAGGGTGCAACGCTCCTAGTCCTACTCCTCCATGTTTAGTTTGCTATCGCACACTTGTTGATAACAGAATGTGTGTTAGGAACACTTTCTCCACCCAGCTCGGGCCTGTTTTAGATCAGGCTATTAAGACTGCACAGCTCTTTCTTTGTTTCCTTCTTTGGAGTTGCAGAGCAGACAGTGTACACGTTGTTGCTGTGATACTGTGCAGAGGCAGAAACAGTCTGTCAGTCATGGAGTGATGACTTTGAGGTTTCGCTCTCACACATTATACAGTTATGCCCCTCTCTAATAGTTTTCTGAGAGAGTGAGAGAGAAAGAGAGAGAGAGAGAGAGAGAGAGAGAGAGAGAGAGAGAGAGAGAGAGAGAGAGAGAGAGAGAGAGAGAGAGAGAGAAAGAGAGGGGGAGGGAGAAAAACAGAAAGAGAGAGAGAGGCTTATCTGACAGCTTCCTCTTCCCCTGTTCTGCCCCAGCCATCCGCCCCTAGCCCTCTGTCTCAGAGCAGAGTGAGCGAGTAAATCACATATTTTCGGGAATGTCAGAGGGCAGGGGTGCAGCTGAGGTTCAACAAGAGACTTGCTCAGAGAATAAACACGCACGTCCGGCTTAGTGCTGGGGGCTAGGCAGGGGCAGCCATTACAGCACTGACGCTAATTACCTGATCACACTAGTCTGACTGATCTCTCAGCTCAGTCTTCAGGGGTCCAGGCCAACCCACACATCTACCTACTGTATTTCACACATTATATTTACATTACAATTTCTTGAAAATGTATATATTTTGTAAGAAAGTCTCCAGAGTAGTTGGTAGTGCTGCTGTCCTGAGCCAGGGGTCAAACCACAGCTCTACAAGAGGCCAGGCTTTACCTTCCCAATCCAATCCCCATGCTGCAGACTGACACAAGCTTCCCCTGACCACCTCTACCTGGGGAGGTGCACATACATTCCCCTTTGACACAGTATCCCCCCCACCATCTCAGAGCAATCAGATGGGGTTGTTAAATAATAATAATTTGGGTGGTGCTTATATTTGTCCTGTGACACACGTGTGTAATGGAAATGTGTTTTTTTTTACATACCAAAACCCCCCCTGAGACACCCGCAGGGTCACAATTGTACAGTGCCCCTGGAGCAATTTGCGTTAAGTGCCTTGCTCAAGGGCACAGCAACATATTTTTTTCACCTTGTCAACTCCGGTATTCGAACCAGCAACGTTTTGGTTACTGTCCCAAGGCTCTAACCTCGAGGGTACCTGCCACCCATAAAGAGGAGCTTGTTAGGGCTGTCTAGACAGGAAGAGAAAGAGCACGACACGAGGAGGGCTGGACCAGACTCCTACAGGGCCTGTGATGGGGCTGGGGCTGGGGCTGGGGCTGGGGCTGGGGCTGGGGCTGGGGCTGGGGGGGAGGGACCGGCTCTGCTCTTCTGACCTCCACAGCTCTGGTTACAGCATCAGCAGCCTGGGGTGCTCCTGGGGCCCAGGGCCCAGCCAGGGCCACTCTGGCTAACAGCACCACAAAGCCCCAGAAACGCCACCAGGCCCCTTAACAGGCCACTGGACACTCTATTACTGGACTGTGGAGAGTCCACCGCAATTAAACAGCATCACCTCGCAGCATTAGATCATATGGGAGGCCTATAAACTCCCCTAATAGCACAAACACACATTGTTTTAAAATGTTTTATGTGTGTGTGTTAAATACTCAGGTAAAGATGGTGATCCTCTTCCCACTTTCTGCTGCTAACCCATGGTTGGAGAACCGCCTCGTGGCTCATACACATGATGCTCCCATACGTGTAGTTCACTTACCAGGCAGGCCCCACTCCCTCAGCACACCTACTACCTGACCACTTGCTCTCTCCCACACTCACTCACTCAACCACTGGACCACAGTGTGCATGCTGCAACCTACTCATCCTCTTTTTACCAGAACCAGGTCAGTGCTGGTGGGGGAGGACGGCCATACTGTACAATACACAAAGTGAATAGCATATTGCCATTTCAATATTTAAAATACTGCTTTATACAATCATCTTGAAACAATTGTTTGTATCTAGATGAGAGATCCATAGTAGCTTTGCTGTTTGCTAGATATCTTTGTTAGGAAAATCATTCCATACTAGTAAACTGGTATGTGAGCCTGAGATGTGAGGAAAGCAAGAACGTAGCTACTGCGACGTTGCATCTGTGGATACTGCTCCAAGGTACCCTGGGCCACTTGGTTTTTTGTTGACTTTCACAAAAAGTGTTGGTTCATGAATTAATTACGACTTCAGGCTCAATTTGGGAAATTTGAAGCCGCGTATTTTGCAGCCAAGGCTATCTGTGCGGCAGTTTATAACATGATATATTTGTCATTTGCTCTTTTGCACTGTGTCAGTGGATTTCAAGGTACTTGAAGTGAAAGTATGGCCTGATATTTCAGCTGTTTCCCCATGGTGATTATGAAAGGTATGGATGTTTCTTGATACCCGTAATAAAGAACATTTAAGATGGACACCAGAACTCAGTCACCCTTTGTTATTACTGATGAGTTGGAGGATAGCCAGTGTCCTCAGCATGACAGAATGTGTTTGTACTAACTGATGAGCAATAAGCACTGTCCTTGAACAAAACTATACAATATCTAAGAGATTGTGTGGAAGACCAGAGGGGATACTCACCTCCTTCCAGGTCCTCCTGCCAGTTGCGGGAGCTGCTAGCCGGGGAGTTGGGAGAGGTGTAGTACTCTCCCCCAGGACTGGTGTCCACATCATCCTCCATGGAGCCCGACTTGTGCCTCTTACTCCTGTATGTCACACAGAGGGAGAGAGAGAGGAGGAAATAAGGGGAAGGCAATGTGACACATGGAGAGCTCCTGGGGGAAACTGTGTACAGTGTATAAAGTATGTACACTTGCACGCTGTGGCGTCAAATTAAGCCTCTAAAGTCCATTGCGCGCAAGATGGCACTGTCAAGGTGAAACATCATTGAGCAAGCAAACACTGAGTCGAGAGCGCAGAGGATGGGTCCGGAGAGGATGAGTGCAGCGAGCGCACAGACCAGTCGAGAGCGCAGAATGTGGTCAAGCGAGCAGAGGATAGGTCCCGCGAGCACATTATTGCTGCACGCAAAATATTAATTCAAGAGCAGAGATTTTTGTTTTGTTTTGCAGTGATACTTACTACATGTCAAGACTCAGATGTTACAAATACACGCATCCCCACATGGATTTCTCCTCTCACACAATCGTGCTCTCGTAACTGCAATCTTTTACTATAATTTTATTACAGGTGAAAATTCTAGCCAATGAACATGGTCGTCACTTGTTAATACTAGGGCTGTTGTGGTGACTGCGGAGTCATGACCGCAGTAAAATTCCATGTGACAATGGTAATCTCTTCTTATGCACTCTGGACATGCTTTGGTAGTACCCAACTTGCTAACAACCACCAGGTCCTAATGACCTGGTACTCAGGGCTCTATTGTCCCTCTAACCACTCTGACATCAATGCAAATGCAATCAAAAATCACATCAAACACTTATCATTAAAACAGTATCATAATTTTAAAACTCACCTCGCTGTTATGATCAATTTGAAGAAAGAAGTTCAACAGCAGGTTGAAACTGAGTGTAAAGCATCATCATTGTGGATGTTGTTTCAAAGCCTGATACAATGAAATGGAAAGCACTTTCTAAGGTGATGATTAATTCAAAACACAATACACATATTAGAGCTTATACATATGCATAGGCTTATGAGCCCAATTATGATTGTGCTGTTATACAATACATAGCCTACCTCATATTACATATTACACATGGCAGAAAAACATAAAGTGGTCCTCTGTAGCTCAGCTGGTAGAGCACGGCGCTTGTAATGCCAAGGTAGTGGGTTCGATCCCCGGGACCACCCATACACAAAAAAAAAAATGTATGCACGCATGACTGTAAGTCGCTTTGGATAAAAGCATCTGCTAAATGGCATATTATTATTTACTTTGGTACATAATTGGTCTAGCCTATACTCCAAAATTAAACAAATTTGAGTAATCAACTTTGAGTGTGAACTGTACAGTCGTGGTCAAAAGTTTTGAGAATGACACAAGTATTGGTCTTCACAAAGTTTGCTGCTTCAGTGTTTTTAGATATTTTTGTCAGATGTTACTATGGTATACTGAAGTATAATTACAAGCATTCCATAAGTGTCACAGGCTTTTATTGACAATTACATTAAGTTTATGCAAAGAGTCAATATTTGCAGTGTTGACCCTTCTTTTTCAAGAACTCTGCAATCTGCCCTGGCATGCTGTCAATTAACTTCTGGGCCACATCCTGACTGATGGCAGCCCATTCTTGCATAATCAATGATTGGAGTTTGTCTGAATTTGTGGGTTTTTGTTTGTCCACCCACCTCTTGAGGATTGACCACAAGTTCTCAATGGGATTAAGGTCTGGGGAGTTTCCTGGCCATGCACCCAAAATGTCGATGTTTTGTTCCCCGAGCCACTTAGTTATCACTTTTGCCTTATGGCAATGTGCTCCATCATGCTGGAAAAGGCATTGTTCGTCACCAAACTGTTCTTGGATGGTTGGGAGAAGTTGCTTTCGGAGGATGTGTTGGTACCATTCTTTATTCATGGCTGTGTTCTTAGGCAAAATTATGAATGAGCCCACTCCCTTGGCTGAGAAGCAACTCCACACATGAATGGTCTCAGGATGCTTTACTGTTGGCATGACAGAGGACTGACGGTAGCGCTCACCTTTTATTCTAACTCAATCAGCATGACAGAGTGATCTCCAGCCTTGTCCTGGTCAACACTCTCACCTGTGTTAACGAGAGAATCACTGACATGATGTCAGCTGGTCCTTTTGTGGCAGTGCTGAAACGCAGTGGAAATGTTTTTTTGGGATTAAGTTCATTTTCATGGCAAAGAGGGACTTTGCAATTAATTGCAATTCATCTGATCACTCTTCATACCATTCTGGAGTATATGCAAATTGCCATCATAAAAACTGAGGCAGCAGACTTTGTGAAAATTAATATTTGTGTCACTCTCAAAACTTTTGACCACAACTGTATTATTATGCATACTGGATGGACTGGTTACCTTATGTATGCTACGCTTCAAAATGTCTATCCACGAGTCTGGGAGAGAACGTATAGCCCTAGGCGATGCTGTTGGTTCATTGATTGTGCAGGGCGGCTTACAGTTGGCCTACAATTATAGTGCATTTGTATTTGATTTTGAATAGCCTAGTAATAGGGATTCTTTTTATATTTGTATAATTTATTGGGTGACACATTACCTTTAGCTATACAGAATATCTCAGCACCATGCGTTTCCATCTCCTCCTCTCTCTCCTTTATTCCTTTCTTGAGCGCGCAGAGGGACTATAAACAGTTTAGATAAATATTTTTTGTTTTTGCGAAAAAATGTCACTATCGATGTTCCCAAACATATTTCACTTGGTTTCCCAAATTAAGCACTCCGTAGCTGCAGGAACAGAGTTGGAGAGCCCGTGGCATACAGAGTTTGAGCGGAATATGGGGCCTCCCGAGTGGTGCAGCGGTCTAAGACACTGCATCACAGTGCTGAGGTGCCACTACAGCCTGGGGTGTGTCACAGCCGGCCGTGACCGGGTGCACAATTGGCCCAGCGCCATCCGGGTTAGGGGAGGGTTTGGCCGTGGGGCTTTCCTTGGCTCATCGCGCTCTAGCGACTCCTTTTGGTGGGCCTGGGCACCTGCAAGCTGACTTTGGTTGTCTGTCGAACAGTGTTATTCCTCTGACACATTGGTGCGGCTGGCTTCCGGGCTAAGTGAGCAGTGTGTTAAGAAGCAGCACAGCTTGGTCATGTTTTGGAGGACGCATGTCTTGACCGAGCACGTTGGGGAGTTGCAGCGATGAGACAAGATCGTAACTACCAATTGGATATCACGAAATTGGGGGGGAAAATGCTCCTCAAACAGTGGTTGATGCGTGGAGTGAAATGAGTGTTCTTATATTTATTTCTCAGCTGCTCATATTAAGCACAGCTCCAAGTAGCCTACCCGGCATCATTGAAAAACAGACCTGGCGGGAAAGCGTGTGGCCTCCATTTAGCTATTCGATAGCATACGGATGACATGTCTTTTTCCCCCTGCCCCTGCCCCTGCCCATTTGATAATGGGCCATTCTAAATCTAAACTAATTTTACAGTAAAGACGAGATTAAATTGAGAATAGTCTGATGGGTGAAAATATGATCACTCGATGAGAGAACATCTGTGCAGCCTGAGGCAAGGAACAGAGCGCAAGCTTTTTTTTGCGAATCATCAATAGCCTATAGTCGCATCATGCAGCCCATATATGTTTTGATTTCTAAGACATTCTAAGGTTTGTATCCTTCACAACTAAAGTTGCCAAATAATTCTAAATCTAGCGTATAGGACCTGTTTCAAATGATCACTTTTACGCTCAACATAGCCACTTCATATGTGCACTTGCTCCGGAATGGGACAAATATGCTTTCTATTTTATTGAGCTAGGTTCAATTATATTCTTCTTACTATAAAATCATATAATATACAATAATGGCACAGGACTTTATAAGCATTTCATCAGCTGCTTGTATGCGTGTAGGCCTGGACATGCTAAACTTGTTTATGTTAATTAACGGACAATTACCGTGAGACCGGCAGTCTTTTGCATGACAATAACCGGCTGACAAAATGTCATGACCGCCACAGCCCTAGTTAACACAGCCACAAAGTCATAATTTTTATGGCTAAACCCCGCCTGTTTCTACTATTTCTCTTTTTAAAATGTGATTTTAAACCTAACCCTAATCTTAACCCTAACCTTAACCCTAACCTTAACCCTAACGTTAACCACACACTGCTAACCTTATGCCTAATCCTAAACTTAAATTAAGACCAAAAAGCATATTTTTGTTTTCATTAATTTTTACAGTACAGCCAATTTTGACGTTTTGGCTGTGTTATATAATGGAAACCGGATTGTAACGGTGAAAAGCAAGGTGATGCTGGTAATGAAGTAGGGATGATGGCTGACGATAAAAATGTAAGCTCTATAGTTTTTCAGTAGAGAATTTAGCCAACCAACTAGTCAACTAGCTATGATTTTAATATTGAAATTGAAGTAGGTAGCTAGTTATTTGGTCTTCTGTTATTAAAGCAGGCTATTGATTAGGCAAGATATGTTAGCATCAGCTAGCAGCTAGCTAGTTAGCTAGCTAGAGTTTAACCACATATAAAAGTTATCTTTAGTTTAACAAAGAGCATTGAATCTAGCTAGCTAGCTAAGTTAACGAGGGGTTAGGATGGAAGGAGGACTTGGAAGACCAGCATGACTGGGAGGGAGTGGCGGAGAAGGGAGAGGCAGGGTGAGAACAGACAATGAAGGGCCTTACTGGCAAAGACACCCTTGATTAAGATGGGGTAAGGGGGAGTCAAGAGAGATCAAATTCTGAACTAAATAACCAAAATAGTGTAAACATTGAGATACAGTCTATTTGAAATACAGATTTTATTACTTTTACTCTGGCAGTTTTTCTGCAGTTACAATAAGAGAATGACTAGTCTGTGTAGCCATTTGATTAGCTGTTCAGGAGTCTTATGGCTTGGGGGTAGAAGCTGTTTAGAAGCCTCTTGGACCTAGACTTGGCGCTCCGGTACCGCTTGCCGTGTGGTAGTAGAGAGAATGTCTATGTCTAGGGTGGCTGGAGTCTTTGACCATTTTTAGGGCCTTCCTCTGACACCGCCTGGTGTAGAGGTCCTGGATGGCAGGAAGCTTGGCCCCAGTGATGTACTGGGCCGTACGCACTACCCTCTGTAGTGCCTTGCGGTCGGAGGCCGAGCAGTTACCATACCAGGCAGTGATGCAACCAGTCAGGATGCTCTCGATGGTGCAGCTGTAGAACCTTTTGAGGATCTGAGGACCCATGCCAAATCTTTTCAGTCTCCTGAGGGGGAATAGGTTTTGTCGTGCCTTCTTCACGACTGTATTGGTGTGCTTGGACCGTGTTAGTTTGCTGGTGATGTGGACACCAAGGAACTTGAAGCTCTCAACCTGCTCCACTATAGCCCCATCGATGAGAATGGGGGCGAGCTCGGTCCTCTTCTTTTTCCTGTAGTCCACCATCATCTCCTTTGTCTTCATCACGTTGAGGGAGAGGTTGTTGTCCTGGCTCCACACGGCCAGGTCTGTGACCTCCTACCTATAGGCTGTCTCGTCGTTGTCGGTGATCAGGCCTACCACTGTTGCGTCATCGGCAAACTTAATGATGGTGTTGGAGTCGTGCCTGGCCATGCAATCATGAGTGAACAGGGAGTACAGGAGGGGACTGGGCAAGCACCCCTGAGGGGCCCCCGTGTTGAGGATCAGCGTGGCGGATGTGTTGTTACCTACCCTTACCACCTGGGGGCAGCACGTCAGGAAGTCCAGGATCCAGTTGCAGAGGGAGGTGTTTAGTCCCAGGGTCCTTAGCTTGGTGATGAGCTTTGAGGGCACTATCATGTTGAACGCTGAGCTGCAGTCAATGAATAGCATTCTCACATAGGTGTTCCTTTTGTCCAGGTGTGAAAGGGCAGTGTGGAGTGCAATAGAGATTGCATCATCTGTGGATCTGTTGGGGCGATATGCAAATTGGAGTGGGTCTAGGGTTTCTGGGATAATGGTGTTGATGTGAGCCATGACCAGCCTTTCAAAGCACTTCATGGCTACAGACGTGAGTGCTATGGGTCGGTAGTCATTTAGGCAGGTTACCTTAGTGTTCTTGGGCACAGGGACTATTGTGGTATGCTTGAAACATGTTGGTATTACAGACTCAGACAGGGAGAGGTTGAAAATGTCAGTGAAGACACTTGCCAGTTGGTCAGCGCATGCTCGGAATACACGTCCTGGTAATCCGTCTGGCCTTGCGGCCTTGTGAATGTTGACCTGTTTAAAGGTCTAACTCACATCGGCTACGGAGAGCGTGATCACACAGTCGTCCGGAACAGCTGATGCTCTCATGCATGTTTCAGTGTTACTTGCCTCGAAGCGAGCATAGAAGTAATTTAGCTCGTCTGGTAGGCTCGTGTCACTGGGCAGCTCACGGCTGTGCTTCCCTTTGTAGTCTGTAATAGTTTGCAAGCCCTGCCACATCCGATGAGCGTCGGAGCCGGTGTAGTTCGATTCGATCTTAGTCCTGTATTGAAGCTTTGCCTGTTTGAAGGTTCGTCAGAGGGCATAGAGGGATTTCTTATAAGCTTCCGGGTTAGAGTCCCGCTCCTTGAAAGCGGCAGCTCTACCCTTTAGCTCAGTGCGGATGTTGCCTGTAATCCATGGCTTCTGGTTGGGGTATGTACGTACAGTCACTGTGGGGATGACGTCATCGATGCACTTATTGATGAAGCCAGTGACTGATATGGTGTACTCCTCAATGCCATCGGAAGAATCCCGGAACATATTCCAGTCTGTGCTAGCATAACAGTGCTGTAGCTTAGCATCTGCTTCATCTGACCACTTTTTTATTGACCGAGTCACTGGTGCTTCCTGCTTTAGTTTTTGCTTGTAAGCAGGAATCAGGACGATAGAATTATGGTCAGATTTGCCAAATGGAGGGCGAGGAAGAGCTTTGTATGCGTCTCTGTGTGTTGAGTAAAGGTGGTCTAGAGTTTTTTTCCCTCTAGGTGCACATTTAACATGCCAATAGAAATGAGGTAAAACGGATTTAAGTTTCTTTGCATTAAAGTCCCTGGCCACTAGAAGCTGCGCCTCTGGAATAGAGTTTTCCTATTTGCTTATGGCCGAATACAGCTCATTGAGTGCGGTCTTAGTGCCAGCATCGGTTTGTGGTGGTAAATAAACAGCTACGAAGAATATAGATGAAAACTCTCTTGGTACATAGTATGGTCTACAGCTTATCATGAGATACTCTACCTCAGGCAGGCAAAACCTTGAGACTTCCTTAGATATCGTGCACCAGCTGTTGTTTATAAATATACATAGACCGCCACCCCTTGTCTTACCAGAGGCTGCTGTTCTATCCTGCCGATACAGTGTATAACCCGCCAGCTGTATGTTATTCATGTCGTTGTTCAGTCATGACTCGGTGAAACATAAGATATTACAGCTTTTAATGTCCCGTTCGTAGGATATACGTGCTTTTAGTTCGTCCACTTTATTATCCATTGATTATACGTTGGCCAATAGTACCAATTGCAAAGGCAGATTAGCCACTCGTCGCCGGCTCCTTATCAGGCACCCCGATCTCCTTCCGCGATATCTCCTTCTCTTTCTCCTGCGAATGACGGGGATGAGGGTCCTGTCGGGTGTCTGGAGCAAATCCCTCTCGTCCGACTCATTAAAGAAAAATTATTAGTCCAGTTCAAGGTGAGTAATGGCTGTTCTGATGTCCAGAAGCTCTTTTCGGTCATAAGAGACGGTAGCAGCAACATAAGTTACAAACAAGTTACAAACAATGCGAATAAACAAACAAAATAGCACGGTTGGTTAAGAGTCCATAAAACGGAAGCCATCCCCTCCGGCGCCATTGTACTGCAGAGAGAAAGAGAGAGAGAGAGTTCACAAAACACCGCACTAAATCACACACAAGAAAAGTGTGTGCAAACAAAACGCAGGCCGTTTTGTATCCCTCCACAACTCAGCACATACAGTATGTATCCCTCCACCTTCCTCAGTGGAGTCTTGACCATGGGCATCAAACTCCAATGTCTATGTTGTGTTGGCATAGTTACTGGACCAGTGGGAGGAGGTGATGCGTCCCATCTCAACAAACAGCTGCTGTGCCAACACCATGCCTGATGACGACAACCAGATGATACTCCTCCACCCTGGATCACGATAAACACACCTAGTCTCTCTCTCTGTGTATGTTTGTTGCACGTGAGAGCGTGAGTAATGGGTCTGTGTATGCAAGTGTGTGTGTGTAGTGTAGGATATACGTTTTGTGTATATGAGTCTACTCTGAGTCTGTATACACCCTGTATTACAGGCCTGCGTTTTGTTTGCACACACTTTTCTTGCGTGTGATTTAGTGCAGTGTTTTGTGACCTCTCCTCTCTCTCTCTTGTCTCCTCAGATATGTGGTGCTCCCCAGACCAGTGTTTTGAGCCAGGGATGGACTACACTGTTCGTCTGAGTTTGCCCCTCTACTCTGCACTCAGTGATGTCCAGTCCCCATGCACACTCATTGACTCGGTTAGTCCCCACACACACACTGTTAAACACCTAGACACAACTGAGACTTGTGCATAAATAATGCATTGATGTCACTAAAGAACAAATTCAAGGTACAAGGATTTAAAGTTGGGATTCAGCCCTTCGACTCCATACTAAATCTAATTCCATTCTCTGTATCTTTCTGTCTTCTCTATACATTGTGTGGATGCCCCACTGTAAGAACCTGGAGATATTCACTGGTTCTGAGGGAGGTGACGTGGCCACCAACAGTGCCTGGGACACGTTCCAACGTTACTGCTGTCTGGAGAACAGCCAGAACGTGGTCAAGACCCCCTCCACAGACATCTGCCGCAACTCTATCTTTAGCGTGTCAGCTGCACCAGGGAGCTAAAGGTATGGCACCGCACTCCCAACAGTCTTGTATGAATACTTAAATATCCTTAAACATATGTGTATGCTCATTTATGTGTTTCTTAACTAAAGGTCTAAAGAAGGTTTCTTATTGCTCAATAATACTGATGAATGGCGTGGATTGTACGCCTCTGCTCAAATCAAATTGTATTGGTCACATACACATATTTAGCAGATGTTATTGCGGGTGTAGTGAAATGTTTGTGTTCCTAGCTCCAACAGTGCAGTAGTATCTAACAATTCACAACAATACACACCAATCTAAAAGTAAAAGAATGGAATGAAGAAATATATAAATATTAGGACAAGCAATGTAGGAGGCATTGACCAAAATACAGTAGAATACAGAATATACATATGAAATTAGTAAAACAGTATGTAAACATTATTAAAGTGGCTAGTGATTCCATGTCTATGTATATATGGCAGCAGCCTCTAAGGTGCAGGGTTGAGTAACCGGGTGGTAGCCGGCTAGTGATGGCTATTTAACAGTCTGATGGCCTTGAGATAGAAGCTGTTTTTCAGTCTCTCTGTCCCAGCTTTGATGCACCTGTACTGACCTCGCCTTCTGGATGATAGCGGGGTGAACAGGCCGTGGCTCGGGTGGTTGATGTCCTTGATGATCTTTTTGGCCTTCCTGTGACATCGGGTACTGTAGGTGTTCTGGAGGGCAGGTAGTTTGCCCCCGGTTATGCATTGGGCAGACCGCACCACCCTCTGGAGAGCCCAACGGTTGCGGGCGTTGCAGTTGCCATACCAGGTGGTGATACAGCCCGACAGGATGCTCTCAACTGTGCATCTGTAAAAGTTTGTGAGGGTCTTAGGGGCCAAGCCGAATTTCTTCAGCCTCCTGAGGTTGAAGAGTCGCTGTTGCGCCTTCTTCACCACACTGTCTGTGTGGGTGGACCATTTCAGATTGTCAGTGATGTGTACGCCGAGGAACTTGAAGCTCTTCACCTTCTCCACTGCGGTCCGGTCGATGTGGATAGGGGCGTGGTCCCACATAGTGACGTCTGCCATTCCATATTGAGGCAAACATGGCACAGATCTGTGCTATTTTATCTTTCCTCGATTCCTTGCGTCGTTTTTCCGTGCCTCCTTCTAAAACCCCATCAGAGGAGAGGATCCTAGGTTCCTCGCCTCAGACCTCCAATCGGTTTTGAGAAGCATTCGAGTAGAGAGGAAGTGAGGAGTTAAGATGAGATTAATTGGGACAGAGCTCATGTCATTGTTTTAGGTGGAATCTTATCTTGAATGATACATTTTATCTGTTTGCAGCACATATATCTTTGTTCTACTTGTGCTCTTTCCACAGATGGCTCTGGCTTGCTGATAACATCTGATCTGATGTGACTCCCTATGCGATTTTACTTCTGTATTACTGCCTGTACTCAATACAACTTCCAATGCCAAATTGAAATAATTTGATAGTCAATGGTAGTTCCCAATCAGACAATTACTATAAAACTATCATTTGTTTTCCTCATTTAAATGTTTGCTGAATGCATGCCGTTGCTTTGTCCTCAGTCCTCCTTTGAATGCTGTGTGTACCATGATGACATGTTAACCTGAGTTTAGCTGGTTAATCATATTAGTTTACATTCTATTATTTGGCACTGGTTATGTACTGTTAATGTAGCAGGTTCTACCCTTTGTGTCTCCATAGGGCTGGGCGGTATGTGTTTGTTAGTTCATCCATCACTCCAGTGTAAGTGACCAATCTTAAGGTTTCTAGACACGAACCCACCTCTAAGCCCGCCCCCCACCAGCCTGAAATCCAATCGAGAAAAACTATTAATTGAAACCCAAAGGTGCCAAGACTTGAGCAAATTGAGAGTGAGAACTTGACAAAGACCGGTGACTATTGTTGGTGGACAATTTGATGCTTTCAAATTTATTTTGTACACGTTTGAACCATGTTTCTTTGCTTATAGTTCTATATTTTTTTATTCTGACATTTTTCTTTTTGATCTGCGGCAATGATGTTCTGCTCGCCCAAAGTAACACTTGCTAGCTCTCAAGTTTGGCCTGTCCACTCGTGGGACACATCCTCTGCTCTCTCGACCAAATTTCTGCGCTCTCGACTGGTCTGTGCTCTCGCGGCACTCATCCTCTGCTCGTGGGACCCATCCTCTGAGCTCTTGATTAAGTGTTTGCTAGCTCAATTATGTTTAATTTTGCTCGACAGCGTCATCTCGCGCACAATGGACTTTAGAGGCTAATTTGACGCGATAGCACGCATGCACACACACACACACACACACACACACACACACACACACACACACACACACACACACACACACACACTCACACACACAGTACACAAGTGGGTCAACAACAGCAATCAGAAGATGACCGGTAGGAAACTGAGTAGCTCCAGGACCCTCAGGTAAACCAGTTTATTTACAGTCTCATTTTGTCCCAGCTTTACTTGACATTTACAGTGTCAAATAAGACAATAAATCACAGCTGGTATTTTGGCAGTGGAGTACACCTCCAGATAAATCACATAGCCTGCAGTCATCTGAAGAACAGCCATTGTTCTTTTAGTTAACGTTTTGTGCTTTCAGCAAAAGGACACTGCTCTCTGTGCACCCATGAAAAAACATGCAGTCCTCCTCTCATTGGCCTAAGTGTTTGCACATCCAGCCATTCATTTATGCAAGGCTCCTGTTAACCTGGAATGTATTCTAACATTCTCTCTAAATGTGAATGTATTCACAGGGTAGAGTAGTACCAACATTAATAAAACAAGTGTACTGTGCCGCAAGTTTGTGCCTTTGTAGTGTATGCAATATGTTCATTTCCAGTCTAGATTGTGTGCGTGTGTGTATGCATGTGTGTGTTTTGGGGCTGGTACTGACCCGCTGGAGGAGGTGCTGGGCAGGGTTCTCCTCATGCCCACCCCTGAGGGGTTGAGGTCGTAGGCCAGATGCCCCTGCAGCTCCCCAAGAGAAAAGTTAGGGCCTGCCCCGGTCACCACCGGAGCTGCACACAGCAAACACACACAGGGGGGACGACAGGTCAGTCAGTGGAGGAACATGTCACACACTGCACATTACTTTCAATTAAACATGCAATTATCTATGGTATAATACTCAAACATCTGCATAAATGACATGTAGCACCATCCTCAAGCTCACTCATACATCGCTGCTGAAGAATTGTGTCGCTGTGTGAGCAAAAATATTGTGTTGTATCTGTGTGCGCTTCTCTGTAACAGCTCCAAAAAGTGGACAATCCCAGCTGCAGTCTGCTACCGTACTTCAGCTCTCGAGACAAGAGCATGAGGATGTAGCATTATGGGTCTGGGGCTGTCTAGCCATCTATCAGTATTTACCCCATTTCCCCTCTCACGTTTCCACTAATGTCCTTTATATACACAAATAAAGGTGAAATAAAATAAATAAATATGGCCATGTGCATTAATGGCTGCCTGCTGCTGTGCTGTGTCTGGCTGGAGTGGAGTGGACAGAGATGTTGTTGCACTCTACTATGCTAGTATGTACTGTATTGTACCGAGCCGTGGGGAGACACAGTGAGCTCGGAGAACAATGGCCCATTTGTTAGGGCAGGTATGCTTATTAACAGTGGGATGGCATCACTACAGATCCCCAGGCGATCAATCTCTCCCTGACTAAACACTGTACTGAGACGCTGGCGAACACAACACAAAAGGAGGATTCATGGATCTACAGTGTAGAAATTCCCTCACGTGCACCTTAAAGGAACCTCTGGCCAAAGAAGAGTAACCAGGGAGGGAACTGCCAACACGAGCAGGCGTGGTTGAATGCATAGAAATTTAAATATTAGAACAGGAATCCCCATTCAAGTCAATGTGTGGGATTCTATTTCTATAGTTGAGCTGGATACCTGTGGTGATGTAAACAAGCTCAGTAATTACAACACATTTTTCTCTGTTTAATTACACTGGTAAAGTAGGTCAGTGGAGAACTCATCATTTCTAATAGGCAGCTAATGTCTCCTAGGATATGCATCCCACATGAGGCCTTGGTAAATAAAGTGGAATGCACTTAAAAGTAACAGATTAGTTAAATAAGCTAATTATGTAGTCTAAAATCTAAATCAACACCTCTTGGGGGCAAAAGGCGAGCATCGATATTAGCGTAAATACATGATACAAGTGTTGTGGAGTTTGTGATATGAAAACTAAATCTGAATGTGTCACATAAACAGAGGTGCAGGTGATAGTTGTTATAGCATAGCATCGGGGCAGCTGAGGATTTGGGGAGTCGAGGGGGTGAATATGGACTAGCAGTCTTTTCCCCAGGAGAGGCCAGCTCGCCGGTGGTAAATTGAAGTCTTTAACTTCTACATTTACTCCAAATAGTCAGGCAAGGTGTGACACATAAAAACAGAGAGCCAGTTTGACAGGTGTAATGTGAAACAGAGAGTGAGTTTGACAGGTGTAATGTGAAATGTGTTCCCTATGCATCATAATAACTCACTCACTCATTTAGTTTTGATAATTATATCTACAGCATTCTACATCAGCTGTCAGCTGTCAGCTGTGTGTGTGTGTGTGTGTGTGTGTGTGTGTGTGTGTGTGTGTGTGTGTGTGTGTGTGTGTGAGGTGTTATCAGCTATCCGTTCCCTCAAGAACAACAAGACTGGTGCTGACAGCATCCCGGCAGAGCTACTTAAGAAGGTACGTTCCTTCTGCACCAGAACGCTCCACCAGTACACCACTGAGGTTTGGGACCGGGAGAATGTCCCCCAACAGTGGCGGGATGCAAACATTGTCACCATCTATAAGAACAAGGGTGACAAGTCCATCTGCGGCAACAGCCGGGGGATATCCCTTCTGGCTGTTGCCGGCAAGGTCCTGGCCAAGGTGAGGCTATACAGGCTGGTGAATAAAATCACAGAGGAACTGCTGCCAGAGTCACAATGCGGCTTCAGAAAGAACAGGAGTATGGTCAACATGATATTCACGGCACGGCAACTCCAGAAGAAGTGCCGTGAACAACATCAGGACCTATTCATGGCCTTTGTCGACCTCTCCAAGGCATTCAACTCAAATTTGGCTGTCCAGACAAATTTGTCAACATCCTTTGCCAGTTCCATGATGGGATTATGGCTCGGGTGGCCATAAGAGGGCAGGAGTCAGTGTGAGGTAGGGGTGTGTGCTGGGACCTGTACTCTTTAACATCTTCCTCCTATGTGTCACCCAGCTTCTCCACAAGGAGCTTGAGGACAGCAGTGGGGTTGCAGTGGACTTCAGGCTGGATGGAAACCTATTCAACATCAGGAGGCTCCAAGCAACCACCAAGGTTTCGACGGAGCAGGTTTTTGAGCTGCAGTATGCTGATGACTGTGCTCTTGTGGCCCACACTCTGGAACACCTTCAGTCCATCCATGTAACGGCTGTGAAGGTCTATAGCAGGATGGGACTGTCTATCAACACCACCAAGACAGAGGTGGTCTGCCAATGGAGATCCAGCCCTCCACCCACCATGACTGTCTTCACCATTTAACACAAATCACTGGCAATAGTCCCGTCATTCAAATACCTGGGCAGCATCCTCTCGGAGGACTGCAGCATCGACCTCGAAATTCAAAACAGGATCAAGCAAGCATCAGCTGCCTTCGGGAAACTCAGATGCAGGGTCTTCCAAAACAGGGATCACCTCCACACCAAAGTTGCTGTCTATCAAGCCGTCTGCATCACCACACTTCTTTACAGCTGTGAAGCCTGGGTCACTTACAGTCGCCACAACAAGCAGCTAGAGCGATTCCACATAAGATGTCTGCAGCGCATCCTGGGAATCACCTGGTGCAACCGTGTGCCCCATACAGAAATACTTGCTAAGACCAACTGCAAGAGTATGGAGGCCATGGTCACCCAACACCAACTGCGCTGGCTTGGGCATGTCATTAGAATGTCTCAGGAGCGTCAGCTACATCTTGGCCGGCGGTCTGCAGGGGGGCAGATGAAGCGCTATAAGGACCAGCTGAAAACGTTGCTGAAGAAGTGCAAGATCAAACCCACAGACCTAGAGGAAGCTGCTGCTGCCGACCATTCCACCTGGCGGCAGCTCTGCCAGAGCAGTGTACAGAGGTGGGAGGAGGAGATGAGCACAAGGAAACAGCAAAAACAGCTCAGGAGACATGCAACCAGACTGGAGTGGAGCTCAGGTGGACACGGACTGATATGCAAACTGAGCCAGTGACTGCCTGATGCAGTTGTGGCAGATCGCAGTGTTGTTGTGGAGGCTTCTGTCACCCATGATGGAACATCTCATTCTACATCCAGGACAACACTCCTTGGTATCAGACGGATGCAACTACTGCAACACTGGAGGCTGCAGGGGAAACTCGCTGCTGTGGACTGTGCTGACCACTCTGTCCCCATTCCATGTACCAGAATGCTGCCGTCAGCGAGGACATTCTCACCTTTACTGTTAAGGCGAGGCTGCAAGTTCTACCAACAAAATATTATCTAGCACTCTGGTACCCTGCAAGCTATGACCCATTTTTTATTCTACATTAGTCAAATGTAATGGAGTCCATTGCCCATGTTGTGAATGGCTGCTGTTCATACAAGGATTTGTACATTGCTAGACATGACCGCCTTGTTGACCTGATAGCCAGTGAGGTGAGACAAGTAGTTTCACCAACAGCACACATGCATAAACATTCTTGTGTAAGGGGAAGCTGGTTTGATGTTGATGTTTTCCTGTGTGCCAAATATGCCAGATATTGTTGTTGAGGGAGGAGGCCATGGGGAGGTGCTCATTTTGGAAGTGGGCTGCTCATTTGACGGCTACATGGAGTAGGCCTTTGCCGAGAAGCTGCTTAAGTACCAGCCCCTTGCGGCACGCTTGGACAGCCTCGTGTGTAGGTACAAGAAGGTGGCGCTGATATTTGGCAGTCTCGGCCATGTACAGAGGCTTGCAGTGCGTGGACTCCAGATTGCAGGCCTGACAAAAACTAGGGCAAAGCAATTGGCTATGTACTGCTCTGTTTCAACTGTCGTGGGCAGCCTAGCTGTTTGGAGAAGGAAGTGCTTTCTGTACCCTTGAGTGCCATGCATACAGGGACCTTTGAAAAAAATCTGTGTATGTGAGTGAATGTACACTCATCAGAGCTTGTCGTTCATACTGAATAGCATTTATTTTGAATGACAGATGAAGATTGACCCTTTTGAGAAAGGCATTATCACTGTGGAAACTGAAAACGTGATCAATTACATATGACAGATGGGTGAGCATCTCTCCCTTCAGCTCCCTTCACTTAAGCTGCCTTTCAAATCTGATTAAACTCAATTTATAAACATAATGAAATAACGTATGTAAATTATGACTTGTAGGGTAAGTGAATAGAGGTCTCAGGTGGTGACTAGTGAGGTCTGTGTGGCTGGGAGACAATGGTTATTCATACAGAGTGATTCGAGGCTGGCTGGCCATGTGGGGGCTGTGTTAATGTGGCCCTAATTCACTAATGTCAGGCCTGGTGAGCACAGCATCCCCAGCCAATCACAAAGCTCAAAGCACACAGCACAGAGCACATAGCCTTGGCAATGTGAATAGAACATATTAAATGGATATAACATCTGCACAATCCACAGTCCACCATGAGACAGATAAAACAACATAAATGATGAGGAAGTCATAAATAATGTCATCCTAAAGCCATATGATCTGATGCCCGGTCAGAAATCAAATTGAGTGTCTGATGGGGTGTAGACAGTAAGGAGGGGTTTACTCTGCATGTTGTCTGTGATTAATGCTGTAAGTGGATTACGTTAGTATCTCCCGTAATCCTGGATCTGGATATTCACTACCATCTTTGTCACCTAGGCTGTTATACCATCCATGTGTTTCCTACCTCTGTGTATCCATCTGATGGGGTTATGGTTGAATAGCAGTAGTGAAACACGCAGCAATGTAGAGACTAGGAGCTCAGCTACTGAGGGAAGCAGTGTGACTGCTGCCAGAGAGGCTGGGAGTTTCCACCCGCTCCCTGAGGGCCAGAGACCGTGAGCTAGCTCATTCTTCACGGAAGAGGGTTGTCAGAACTTTAATCACCATAGTTTATGTGACACATGCCCAGCTCCTAAGCATGTTGCTGTGTAAGTTATGGCTAGGAAGTTATAAGGAAAGTAGCCACACATGACGTTTTAAGAAAGAACGGTAACAAAAATATATTATTGCACCAACACACTCCGTCCATCCATTCAACCACAAATATATAAAAACATAAGTAGCTAAATAAAATATGTAAAATCTTACTTCTGGACACTTGCACCAACTCTGTTACATTAAAAACTCCTGACGTCACAAAGCTTTCCTGAAACTCAGGAGCATCTGGAAAACACAGATTTGAGTCACCATAGAGAGTTCTGTGACATAATACAACAAACATTACAGTAACTTCTCACTTTTAAGACAAAGACACAATAAATGACAGAGTATCAGCAAGCCAGTAAAGCACATGCCCATATGTTTTAGCCTAACAGCAACCTGGAATATATTGGATTCCAAATATTACAGTGAAAGGTATTGCGTGTGTCTGCGAGTGCTAGATGAATAACTAGCTCAGTGCTTATGTCACTGTCTGGCAGTGTGTAAATGTGTATGAATATTTCAGTGTGTGTTGGTATTTGGATGTGTGTGTGAGTCGATGGGGCCCCTTACCCATGGTGGCAGCTCGGCTATCCTCCTGATCTGACCCAATACCTGTGCGTGGGCTACTGCTCTGCTCTGACTCTGAAGAGAGGGAAGGAAAGGAAGAGAGAGGGGGGGGAAAGAGAGAGACAGAGGGGGTCAGGGGTAAGATACATAAGTCTAAACCCAGCATAATTTGTTTCAGTTTCTACCATTTAAAAGGCTCATTTGAGGGTGATTATGAAGTTAGAAACAGTCTCCAAAAAGGAACATATTTAGTGAGAAATAATGGGACAAATATCACAGCCGGGGCCCAAAGGTCCCCAAAGCAACATCCAGGGTCTTTACTGTAACATTGGTTTGTCACTGGATAGATTATTAGGTGGATCAAAATAAGTACTATATTCAATTCAAAGTTTATAGATAGTACTAAAGCTATTATAACAAGTAGGGTTTCAGAAAAATAAAATTGGCCTGCCACAAAAATGTGAAACATGATCCAAATACCTCATTATATAACTGCCTTGTTTGGCAAATCTAACTAGAATCCAAAAAGGTTTCTGGCAGGCTAATATATTTGTTCAGCCAGAATGTACACTCAGTAAAGCATCACAACAATGGCAAGGCCACACAATCCAACCAAAAAATCAACTTTTATTTGTGTGAACTTAATATTTGCTTCACCTGGCAAATGCAGATAATATAAGCTAAATAAATAGAGTGCAGTCCAAACCAGAATGGGGAGCATACTAGATTTACCACAAAGAGTCAAACGGAACAGCAGTAAAAACCTAAAGATAAATAAATAGGGCCCTCCTCTATCAGATAGGCATGATTCCACTCGCGGATCAAAGCCACACACATTCCACATTGCTCCACATGTTTGAGTTTAGAGCCTGTGGAGGGAGTGCCTCATTGCAATATTCACACTGAATCCCCGTCACTAGAACGAGCACCCCGCTTCCTCTGGACTTCCCTCTACACTGGACAAGTGAGCCAGACACCCTACCGTTATGTGTGACAACCACAGCAGACTGCACCACCACACAGGTAGCAATGACTGTCTTCTTCATGAAGCTCTGTAGAGAATGGCATTATTTCTACCTTATCCCCCTTATACGTTCTTCGACAGCCACTTCGATAGTGCTCAAGCTTATAATCACTATCATGGGGGGATGTGCTAAAATATTGGCAGGCAGCATTTGAACTGATTGAGGAGTATGGTCGACCTCTGGGTTGTGGTTTGTTCTGTGGCTAATCTACTGTAGTAGAAAGACAATGAAAAAAACTGCAAAACAAAAACATAAAATAGCCATCTTGATTTTACTTTGGCCAATAAAACTCCTCCAATTGTTTCTCTCCTCTGCTATCTTTAATACCCAATACATTCTTGCTAAAAGCTGCAGCGGATTTTAGGCAGGCCACCCTCAGACAAAATCCCTGGCACCTAGAGCAAAATAAAGAGAGAATGATAGCAAAAGAGGTGGTAAGGGTAGGTAACAACACATCCGCCACGCTGATCCTCAACACGGGGGCCCCTCAGGGGTGCGTGCTCAGTCCCCTCCTGTACTCCCTGTTCACCCATGACTGCATGGCCAGGCACGACTCCAACACCATAATTAAGCCTGATCGCCGACAACAATGAGACAGCCTATAGGGAGGAGGTCAGAGACCTGGCCATGTGGTGCCAGGATAACAACCTCTCCCTCAACGTGATCAAGACAAAGGAGATGATTGTGGACTACAGGAAAAAGAAGAGGACCGAGCACGCCCTCATTCTCATCAACGGGGCTGTAGTGGAGCAGGTTGAGAGCTTCAAGTTCCTTGGTGTCCACATCACCAACAAACTATCATGGTCCAAACACACCAAGACAGTCGTGAAGAGGGCACAACAAAGCCTATTCCCCCTCAGGAGACTGAAAAGATTTGGCATGGGTCCTCAGATCCTCAAAAAGTTACACAGCTGCACCATCGAGAGCATCCTGACTGGTTGCAAAAGGCTTCGTAACAGCTTCTACCCCCAAGCCATAAGACTCCTGAACAGCTAATAAAATGGCTACCCGGACTATTTGCATCTTCTTTGATGCCATGATGATGCAATAAAACGTGGCCGAAACAAGAGACCATCAATTTTCCCTCCGAAAGCAGTTGACTGCATTTTTGTTAACTGTTAACATCGTGTTGTAATGTTTTCAAGTCATATCGTTTTGATGGTTTTATCATTCCAGGACTGTAAGAGTTAATGAACAAATCTCCAACACCTCTGAGATACCATTCAAATGTGATAAATTAATAAATGTCAGAACGGATATTAAATGGAAATCGCAGCTGTCCCCTCGTGAGCTTGAACAGGGTTCAATGAGGGCAAAACTGATCTACTTACTGCCCCACCCTGTCCCTAAACTTGTTATTTAAAAAAATAAAAATAAAAATAATTCACATCAAGATAAACACTTTGAAAATGTGTTATTATACACTTTCAGAATTTGACGAAAAACGATATCTCTCCTCTCTTTCTCTCTCTATCCTCACCCTCATATTCCCGACCACATCTTTACACATTTATTATTCATATCTATTTGTTGTGGCACTTGTTGTTGCTATTTTCTTTCCAAGTAAGTTATTTCTCTGGCCAGGGATCGCTCAACTAAACATAATTTTTGGCAGACATTTCATGTGCAGAGGAGCTTAGTGTTGGCAGCCATTTTAGATTGCTCTTTCTCCCGTCTCTCTTTCACTCACTCTCTCCCTCCCCCTCTCTTTCTCTCTCTCGCCCAGAGCAAGAACACACAAAGTATAACTAACCCTGTTGAAGAGTGCCAGCATGCTCCTGTGCCAAATCACCCCTTCAGACGAAAGACGAAAAGAGAGAGAGACAGAGCAGTGCCACTTAATTGCTGTTGGCAGACAGAGAGAAAGAGAGAAAGTGAGGAAGAAAGAGAGAAATAGAGAAATAGAGAGGGTAGAGAGATGCACAGAGTAAGGGTTTTGAGAGAGAAATACATTTTTTCTATGGAAGTTACTTAACCAGAAACTCATTCTAGCTGAGTTACTCTGCAATCACAGTGTGTCACAGTTAAATTACAACACAGGACAGACAGCATTACAAGCACAGGGAAGCAAAGTAGCTTCCCTCCTCAGTCCAACCAGGGGACAAATGCTTGTCTGAAGTAAACTGACCACAGTTACTCATAAAAGTCCCCCACCACCAGAGATATGGTCCAAGCTGCAAGTACACCACCAGAGATATGGTCCAAGCTGCAAGTACACCACCAGAGATATGGTCCAAGCTGCAAGATATCGTATGAGAGATTATGTGTCAAACGACAACTTTTAAAGAAAACCAAGTGACACACTCTGA